TTTAAAAAAAAAAAAAAAAAAAAGAAAAAAAAGAGGATAGACAGTTCAGAGAACAGAGCTGGTTTCCATACTATGGATATTTCTCTATTTAGTTCTGTATACCTTTTCTTTAATTTGGGAATGTGCGTATATATCGAGCGAAACAGTCAGCATCCTTGTATCGCGGGTCAGCAAGAAACGATACTCATCATTGTTCTAACTTGTTGGCGTTGTTACTGAGCCTGTTGATAATGTGACGTCAGGTGCCAGCCATCTCACTTGCCTACGAGGAGGCAGAGAGCGATATTATGAAGCGACATCCACGAAACCCCTTCACTGACAAGCTAGTTAACGAAAGGTAACACATCAACAACATAACCGAGCCTTGACAAAGAAAAAAAAAATGAATACTACTACTACTACTACTACTACTACTATTACTACTACTACTACTACTACTACTGCTACAACTACTACAAACTACTATTACTACTACTACCACACCGTTGATACTTTTTATAGTCGGAAAGAGTAATCGGTGACACGATCTGCTTGATCCTTGACGTTTCAACGTTCGTCAGCGAACGAAAATAATAATTGTAAATCGACGTAAACTTGCCGGGGGAATTTGTGAATCAAAAGCAATGGGTAGACAGGTGTCGTGTTTTGTTACGTTCGAACGTCAGGAATCAAATCACAGAGTCTCCGTCTACCTGTCTATTGGTCGTTACACCTCTTTATCTTACTCCTATCGTTATTGTACAGTAGCTAGTTCGTTCTGTCGTTCGTATATACTCGTTCTCGAGCACTCAGAAGGGAAAAGTAAAAAGAAAAAAAAAAAAAAATATATGAAAGCCACCGAGAAACAACGTTGACGACAACGAAAGTGACATTAATCGCGACACAATTTCCTAATCAGTGGGACGAATAGAAACTCGTTGAAAACCCGGTCGCAGGCGCACGCAGCAGAGACTGTGAAAACGAGGTGGCAACGATTCTCCGTGTACAAATTAATCCCTAGCCTGATTTTGTCCGCCTTGTATAAGTTGTATAACTCGATGTTGTATCTTTTTTTTTTTTTTCCCCCTCCGTGTTCACGTCCTTTTTTTTCTATTTTTTT